CCAATATGTGATAAGAAATACAGTGGGACAAATTTCCACTTTAAAAAAAAAATTAATTTGGCACAGAAAGGTCATGGGTGATGCATAAACTTTGTAAAAATCAAGATAGAGCAATTTTTCTCAAAATGCTCCTAATGAGCTGATCTGAACTGTTCTGATCTAAATATTGCTACCCTGGATTTGTGTTGGGTTGTTGTTTCTTTTAAAAAGCTTAAATCTAGACGTGTTCTATGGTGGAGTATCTTATGTTGAACATGGAACATTACAGCTACTGCAGTTCTTCAGTTAATGGAATTGAGAAGCAAAAGAAACAAGTCTTATTATGTTAGTGTGTGGTAACATTATTGCATATCTTAGTGGACATAATACAGCCAGTAAACAACATTAAAAAGAATAAACATGATGGGAAAGACCATTCTGGACCACTTGTCTATCAGGTTAACATCAGTCAAATCAGGTATTTTGATGCTGATCTGGGATGCCCTCCTGCGTAAATGTCCTTTTTTATGGAGCCTGTGCCTGTCCAGAGCACTCCTGTTGTAGAGGTCTCTGCTGGAAGTGGCTCTTCTGTACTGCGGGCTGGCACTGTCGCACGTGTACGTGGTGGCTCGGGGGTCATGGAGGCTCGTGAGCACCTCTGAGCTGCAAATGTTATTTCGTAGTTCAAGTGGTCCCAGAAGCATGTTCCCATGGGCATCCACCTGTGTCAAGGGAGGAATGGGGATTAGACAAGCTCCTCAGCCAGCCCAAGGTGTTTCCCAGATGGCCCTTGTGGCTCAGGGTGCTCCTGGGGCTGCAGTGACAGTCCTGTCTGGTACAGCATTCACAAAAGTGAAAAGATAGTGAATACACTTTCCTGACTAGTGTGAAATTAGCTATTCAACATCTAAGCACCTTCCATCCTTACTTGGCTCCTTGGTCTTGTAATTCAGTTAATTATCTCATCCTCTTTGAAGTAAGACTTTTGTAATTTTATCTTTTACTTGGACCACCGCCTTTATGAAATACTGATTTTTAAAGTCTGGTGACTGGCACATGCATCTTTCACATACTCAAGATGAAAAGAAAATGTTGCTGTCACTGCCCATTTTAAACAGTTTTTGACTGTTTTAGTGCTGCAGGTTAGTTTCTAAAATTTTTTACCAATGGGTTCATCATATGAAGAGTATGTAGATACACGTGTATTTTATCAGTTATTGTAAAATACTTGTGGTGAGAATTGAGTTTGGGCAATTACTATATTACAGGGATGAAATCATAGTACATTAACTTGTTTGTATGCAGATAGAATAATCTATTTTATTAAATGAAAACTTATATTCAGTTGCCTTTTTATGTATTAGTACCAGAAGCAGCTGTTTCAAATATGTTTGTCCCTTTATTTGTGTTATTAGTCAAAGCACTGTTTTAAATACCTAAGCAAAGAACTGGAAACTGCAACCAGTATGTACATGTTTGGCACAAACAATTATATATATGTAAATATTAAATATTTTTTTATCATTGTCTTCTCGTGTATGAGTGTAATTAACCATTAATTGCTGCATTGCTGTGAAGTGTTCTCGTTTTCCTGAATCTTTAGTTTTCTACATGTAGTAAAATCTCTTTTGAAAGGTTTTTGTGCTATTTCCAGGTTAAGTTCTGGTTTATCCACAAATACTTAATAGATGTTTCAAATTCACAGATATTTAAACATCCACTGTAGCTCATATGAGAGAAATATACATCTGGCCTCTTAAATTAAACTTCGAGGTCTTCACCTTGAAGCTTGAATATAAATGTTGTTTTCAGTAAACTGTGGTATTGGACCTATCCCAAATTTGTAACAAACTTGATCATGTCTGTGGATGCTTTTATATCAGTGAGTAATTCATTAATTATAGACAATATCTAGTTTTGTGAAGCACCATTGATATTCAGGGCTTTGTTTGTACTCTGAGCTTTACATTTTTAGTAAGACATAGCAGAGCTAGGAAATTATATAATAATCTACAGCAGATTTGAAGTATGTGCAAGAAAAAATTCCAAACAAAACACAGAGGGAAACCTAGTTTTTGTGGGTTAGTGCAAAAGACAGATGGGACTAAATAAAGTTTCAGTTCCACCTGGCAATGGGGAAGATGTTCCTTCCCATCATCAGGAAAAATCTTTACATCATTAATGACAGCATATTTGCACTGTGCCAGACTAAGCACTTACTGACTGAAAGCAAAGCAGTGAAGGGACTATTTGTACAAAAGCCACACAAGAGAACCGTGGGGTAAAAAACTTTCTAAGTGAAGTAATAAATCATCACAGATAGAAAATGCACTATTCTGGTTTAGAAATTGATTCTGAATGTGCTGAAATGAGCATTCAGTGGTAACACCCCAATTCCCACCACTGTTTTGGTGGGAAAAGCTCACATGTTCTGGGTTAGAAAGGTCAGCTTGTCACAAATCAGCATGGTGTTTCAAATGTTTGCTTGAGATATGGGCTAGCCAGTTCATAGTTTTTAGGTCAGTTCTTCAAATTTTAAGAAGGAAGATTTAAGCTAGAGTCTCCTGCTCTCCAGAGGACTGGTGTAACTATGGGACTAATTATTTACTCTGAAGATCTGACATGTTTTCTGTGAAAAAAAAACAAACCCCAGTTATCTCAGGGTTGTCTCTGTATAAAAAGAGTTTTTTTTTTTTTTAATTCTCAGAAGTTTTGATAGGTCATTATTTTCAGTTTTATGAAATAGCTCTTTGAGTTGTCTTTGATTACATAATCTAATGTGGAAGTTAATTGATTTCAGTGTTACAATAATAGTAACAATAATGCAAGCATTATTAAGCAGTTATTATGACTTTCCTTTTGGGAAGAAAGCTTGTAGCTGCCTACATCTGAAGTGATTCAGAGGGATCTTTCTTAAACTAATATATCCTGACAATTTGTTATGAAGCAAACAGTGCCTGAATTCCTGCTCTAAGCATTCTGGATGAACCTGTTATTTTTAAAATGAATTTTAATTTAAACCATTTTAGGCAAGACGATTTGTATGTCATGAAGCAAGTTGGTCTTTGAATTGCAGTCTTTGCAATTCAGAGCCAAGAGCTTTACACTGATCTTGACTAAATTAGCTCATGGAAGTATAAAAGCTTTTCTTATCTACCTGGTCAAATGCTCTGTGCAATTTCCCACATCGTTATAAACCCTTTCAGTATATTTTGAAGCTCACTGCAAAGCATTAAGACTTGTGCAGCTGATCTCCTGCTGCTAAACCAACAACTGTGCTGAAATCATTCTCCTTAGATGAACTTGGTTAATTTAAATCTAATTGTAATACTATCTTCTTAGCTTTACTAATTCCCACACTAACTCACACCTCCAGCCAAGGTGTGACCACCCCTCACTGGGCATGTGCTCCATATTTTATTGACTCTTAAGAGTGAAGTGAGAGAATTCTACACCAATCAGTAACAAAGGTGTGTATGACTAGAGTCACTCAAGTTCCATGTAAATGTAAAGGAACAGGATACAAAGCAGTTGAGAATGGGAAAAATTCAGGGAAGACTCCATTGTAACTACTGGCATCGGTTGATGGGGTGAACCTGTCTTCTACCCCACAGGGATGCCTATTGGGTAAGAATCACTCTGTGTGGGCTGAATACTTTCACTGGGGATTAGAGTTTATCTGTATATTGCTTTAAAAATGGTCTTGCAGTCAGATGCTATCACTGGCAATCCTTGAACCTTAACCTGTCACCATTTTTTATTAATAAACAGTGATATTCCATAGCTGTTAGTGCGAGTCCTTCCCAGGTGCTGGCTGTTACTGGCAGTAGGTAACATCAATAAAGAGGAAGACCCACTAAGGGGTCATAAACTGGGAAGACCTGCTGAGGAATCTTCCTTAGGCTGTCCCTAAGTCAGTCAAATCAGCCTGTGATCCAGCAGTTCAGTGAAGGATCCCCCTGACAGGATGCTGACAGACCGAGCTCAGTTTTCCTGGGCCACTGACAAGCACTAAAGGTTGAATTAATGTCCTCACACTAAGGGGGATGAAACCCCCTTTTTTCATGTGGCACTTAGAAAATGAGTTTCCTGCTTAGGAACATCAAATGATATTGTAACCGTAAAATAGTTAAGGTAATAAAAGGAAAACAACACAAAGCAACAGGCCTGTATTGACTGCATAAAACATAGTCAGACAGCTCTAGGAGAAGTGCATATTAGCCTTCCTTGACAGAGGATGGTCTCAAATGCTGTCTGACCCTGTCTGACCCAAATTCTGCTCAATGGCTGCCTGGAATGATTTTTTTAAATTTTTTTTAAAAATTTTTAGGTTTTTTTTTTTTTTTTTTACCTTAACTGTTGGGAGATAAAAAAGTAAGGATATCTGTTTTGTCTCAATACAAACCCATTGTTTCTTCCTCTTAAGGTGAAAGACTCAGGGCCATGTTACTCACACAGGTTGTCTTATTGGAACAAATGCTGTAGTGTTAGCACAAGCTGATCTGCAATAAAACAACTTATGCTCAGCAGGGCTATACTAATTCACAAGGAGATTTACTTGAAGGTTAAGATATTTGTCTGGCTATGTGCTTCCCTTCTTTTTCTTTTTCCAGTAGCCACTATATTGGAAAATTGTACATTTTCCTTGAAGCCTGTGGCTGGTCTCTAGCTTTCTATCTCAAGTGTTTAGTGTTTCACAGGATATTTAGAAGGAAAGTGTGATGCTGTGCAGAACTGGGGAGACAATCTATCACTTGTCTTGTGTTGATAAGCCTTTATAAACCTTTTGATGGTGTAGCCCCTTTCCCACTCACATTATGATTGCATCCTACCTTTTCTTCACGCTTAAGAGATATCTTCTGTGTAATTACTCTTCATGTTATAATTGTCTGGGGAAAGAGAAGCAGTAGCATGCATGGACTATCTAAATATTGTCTTGCTGTGTGTTTTTTTTCTATTTATCAATCCATAATTATGGTGATGTCAGTGACATCTAGCTTTGACAAATGAACAAGGAGATATAAACAGTCCTTTTACTTTATTCAGAGAAACAGAAAGATTGTTTGCTACAAATTAATAGTTTTTGTATATTAAAAATAAAAATTGCATAAATTGTGAAGCTGGAGAGACTTTATTTCCATCTTCTTCAGTCTGTAGAGCATGGAACAGCCACCTATGAAACAACAGTTCTGTTTCATTTTTCATCTGGTCTTCTCTATACTGTTAATATCATGGTCAGTTTGCTGAGTGTTGCTCACCCATTGAAAGCTTGTGTTATCTGGTGGAGGAATTTGAACTCTTTTAGTCTTTGGAGTTGTATGTCAGATGGGAATGCTCGGTATCTTCACCTGGCACAAAGAGATGAAGCACTGTCACATATCTTCTAACAGTTACAGGTCCCTGTATGGACAAGTGGTGTGGGCCAAGAGTAAAAGGGAAAAAATGTCCTATAGCTATACATACTTACAACTGTACTTCTTTTATGTTCAAAAAATGACTTTCCCCTGCTCTGGTGCAGGCATCATTACCAGTGAAAAATCTCAAAAAATGATGGAGAGGGGCTGGAAGCTGTTTCAGTGGAGGTCACATAACCTTGCTGTGTCCCACTGCTCTGGTCATGTGCACTCTTCCTGCCAAAGACAGAAATACAACTGTTGGAAATCAGCATTTCTGTGCTGAGTAAAATTAATGTTCACAATCTCTCACATCAGTATGTGGAACACAAAATTCACCGATATCCATTCACGTGTGTGTTTATGTATATGTGTGCATATATATGTATTTACAATCACAAACCTGCACTGTACAGGCAGAAAGCAGTCTGTTCACTTAAAGCACTCTCATTCTCAGAATGGGATTGCTGTCTGAAGTGTGAGCATCTAGAAATCCTGGTACAAAGCATGTATGACTTCCTTTTTCTATCAGAAAAATGATGGTGTATGCAATGTGGTGCTTTAAAAACTTTCCATCCCATTCTGAGTACGAATCTCAGTGTAATATTTGCTGCATAACATTTAGACAAAAGCTTTTAGTTATGAGTTATGGCATTTTGTTAGTTAAACAAACTCTCCAAATACATAGGAGAAGAACTTACCTGCACCCTTATCCTTTACTCATTTCACTGGGGCACAAGTAGCCAAGGCTGACCTCTGAAGAAGTCTTGATTTCCTCTTCATCATGAATCCTTGCTGTGCTGCTTCTCACCTAGGCTGGGTTATCTCAGGAGCTGTTGAGGTAGCTGGTCAGAATTTGTGGGTTATGTTGTTTTTTTCCCTTCCTTATTTTTCATAGAAATGGATGGACAATGTCTGTGCATGACAATCCATACTGGGGTGGCTTATCTCCTCTGCTCTGTGGAAGACAGTACTTTGTGGGGTCTTGGAGACTGCTGATTGCCTGAACTGAATTTGTGCCCTCACTGTAATAAAGCATCTCCTACACAACGGGACAGAAGGCAAATGTAAGTAAAAACTTTTAAGGGGCTTATGAGTTTACTGAGACTATGATGGCTTTGTTAATGATGCATAGCTGTAGTGGTGGGACACCAAAGACACAGCTCTAGAATTAATAAGATATTACAGAGTTTCTGAAATGAACTTTCTGATGTGTTTGTGACACTGTAGCCATCTATCAGGATGAAGGCTTACTTCTTAGAGTTTTATGTGTTGGTCTCATTCTTCAAACTGAACAGAGGGCTCAAATACAGTTCTGTCCAAAGGTTAGGCCACAACAGTAAAGAAGTTTATAGGACAGCCTGGGCAAGATCTCATTAATACTTGGATGTAATATATTGTAAGTAAAGCACAGGAAGGAAGAAAATTTTTGGCTTGTTAGTATATACTTTTTCCTCTGAGTCAGACTGGGCCAAATACACCTGAGGCTTTAAAGGATTTGTTTCTGAAAAACTGGGAAAAAGTGAAATAGATTTATAGATGCTTGCAAGTGCTCAGTGATGTATTGCAAAATTAAACTCATCCTCCTTAAAATATGTCAACAGTATTACTTCCTGAAGGTTTTCTGACTTGTTTCTGAAAGAGGGGATAGTTGTGGTGTGCCTGAATTTAGCTGAGGGAAAAATCCTGACATCTATGAAAGCTGTTATAACCTAGCAGCAGCATCCTTGTGTCCCTCGAAGGTCAGGGCTCACTGAAGCAACAGAGCTTGTCTATGCTTTTTATTTTTGGTGAAGTTTCTGTATGTAAAGAGGGACTTCTATTATAAACATTTCTTCTATACCACATTCTAAAGCAAAAAAAAAAAAAAATACACTTGAAGTGGTAGATATTTAACTTCCTTGTACACCTTGTATTTCTTCTGCAAGAAATACAAAGAAGAAAGAATATGTGTCCTGAATATTCATGTGCATTTTTTCTGTGTTTTCTTACTCTGTTTTCACTTGAATATGGAACAGACCATGCATTTTGCAATCTCCTTAAAATACAATTTTTCTGTAGGCAATCTTAAATGCTTTTGCACATGTGTTCTACCTGTATTTATCTCTGTCATCATATAAATGAACATTTTCACAGTAAAAGTAATGTTTGAAAAGATAGCTTGAATATTTTACCTGGACTCTATTTGTTTCCAGTCTGCTCTTCTCTCCTGTAGCATGTCCTGCTCTGCTTGCTGTCTTTTTTTGACGTTGAGGTCCTTTCCCAAAGAATATGTAGTTTAAAAAGGCATATTCCAGCAAGGCCAGGAACACAAACACAAAGCATCCCATCAGGTAAATATCTATTGCTTTGACATAGGGAATCTTTGGCAAGGTCTCCCTGAGGTGGGTGCTGATGGTGGTCATGGTCAGCACAGTTGTGATTCCTGCCAAGGAAAGAAACAGACGTTGACTAATATGATGAGGAAGGAGATTTGAGCACAAAGGACATAATGGCAGCATTGCACTTCTCATGCAGATGGTGTAATTATGTGCTCAGGTTGTTAGCAGCCAAAGGAATATGTTTTGCAGAACTGGAAAGGAACATATCCTTGCAAGTCTGCTGACAGCACCTTCCTTGGCTTTTTGTACAGTGAATGGTGAACGAAATAACCTTCAAAAGCCCAGGCTGTGTTGGAACCTCTTGCCCTAATTTTTGCAATAACCGTGCTAGGGAATGTGGTGTTGGCTGACCTGGATAGCAAAAGTTGATTGCTGTTCTTTCTATGTGAGAAAATGCTTCTTACTTCATTTACAGCAGTAGCTCTGCTTGACTCTATAGGTGACTTGCATTGCTGTGGGGATCTGCAGTAAGTAGCTTTTGATTTAAAATGGAGGATTGAAAGGAGAAAGGGAAGCCTTATGATAAAGTGATGGTCTTTGATGAAGAGAAGGTCATATATATATGCTTGTACCAAAACAACTTTTCCTGTTAACTAGATGCTTGCAAGTAAAGCATTTCCATCTCATTATGTTATCCACCACTGAGTGACTTTTTTCCCCTCATATGTGTTTTTTCTTTTAGCTGGCTGAAATTACTTTTTAGTCTGCATTAATCACAGGTCATTAGTGCATGTAGATAACAGCTCTAGGCACAGGTGTAACAAGTTTAATTTGCAGGGAGATGGGACAAAATGGCTTTTTGGCAATAGAGTTGAAAAACATATATGCCTTAAAGCACAGTCAGTGCAGATCTTCATTCTTATGGAAAGTTGTAGGAAGGAATGTGATGTGGGAAAGAACCGACTACAGGCAAACCAGACTTATTTGGTGTAAGCTGGTATATCTCCACTGATGTGGAAATATAGGATCTTGTGTATTCCTTCCAGTCACAAATCTGGCCTTAGAGAAAACTTTTAACATCAGCAGGGATTGTTCATGCAGCACAGTGGAGATACCCTTAGACATCTGACTTAGATTTTTACGCTCCCGTTTGGAAGCAAGATACTTTTGGCCTGGTCCAAAGACATTATGACAACAGGAAGTCAGATAGAATCCTAAAGTGCAGAGCAAGAGCTTCAGATGCAGGCAAGGTCACACCTGCCTGCCCTTCCTGACAACCAGGGCCCTGTGCTGCCTGTGTAAGATCACAATTCATGATGCTACAACCAGCAGAATGGATTTGGTGCCACTGTTTTCAAAGGTAGCAAGTGTCATTTTGAGAAGAACTTACCTAAAGCAACTCTGGCTGCAGAGGCATCGTAATTGATCCAAAAAGACACCCATGACAGAATTGTGATCAGTGTGGAAGGCATATAAGTTTGCAAAATGAAGTATCCAATATTTCTTTTAAGCCGGAAGCTAAGTGATAGTCGAGGATATGCCCCTGAAAGAAAGAAGTCATATAATGACTAATGCCTCACAAAAGGTAGGCACTGATATTTCTGGGTTGGAAAAAGAGGGGACAACTTTTTTTAACTTGTCAGTGCTTGCCTGTTGTAAATTCCACTCTCTTTGACACCATCTTGTAATCCACAATAGAAAATTGTGGGAGCTCGATGTTATTAACTCCTGTTACTGCTGACTCTCCTCCATTCCAGTAAAATTCAATATCATCAGTAGTGTATCCATCTGAAACAGAGGCACAATTTTATTATTGACTTTTCTTTTTGTTTTATTACTTTGCTTAAATAGTTGCAGTTCAAGTGGAAGGAGCTGCAGTTAATCAGGAATTCAGCCTTTTGTTGTGTGACATTCCTGTTACACAGAAGTATTCTCCATGCTCCAGGAAGCTTCTAGATGTAGAAGCCCAGAAGACAGAAAACAAGGACAGAATTCATTATTAAAGTTTGTTTTTAGCTACCTCTAGTGCAACTACTTTTCAGTCAGGCTTGAGCTTCTCAGTTTGCCAACAGACAGATACATCATCAGCAAAACTTTTTAACTCTTTGGAGGAACTCTGACAGTAAAACCAGGTTCAGTTCCCAGATTTTGATTTCCTATGCAGGATATGACAAAATAGAGAGTTGGAAACCAGTGGAGACAAAGATGATTCTAGAAGAATTAAGGTGCCTGTAGTATCACCTGACAATGTCTATCAGAGCTGTAGGTAACCCTTTGATATTCATGAAGCATTTTATATTTTAATTAGACCATGCCATCTTTGATCTTCTGTTATCACAGAACTATTTCTTTTTTTACTCCAAAACTAGCACCTTTCTTCTGTTTCCTTTTAACAGTGATGTTGATTATTTATAATTCAATTAAAAATTAATTTGCTATTATATCACTGGAAATGTTAACATTATTGCTACCACTTTCAGGAATATTTTGATTGAACTCAGAAGTGACTGAGTTTCAAAAAAATCTCAAAATTGACAACATTTTTGAACTAATATTTAAACTGGTTCCACTTTATTGCATTTTTCTACTTTCCCCATATAGCTACCAGAGGAGAGAACATCTCATGTATTTTAAAATTTTTCCTTCAGGTGTTAGATTTAATCAGGTTTAAATCACATAACATGGATCAAATAAAAACGTGTTTGAACTCAAAGCTTTAAAAAACTTGACAGTACTTTTGCCAGCTGAACCAACTGTAGCCTTAGAAGCTTCCACAGAGTTAGGGACCTATCTTTCATATGCACAAGTAATGCAATATCAATAGTCTTGAGCAATAAATAGTCTTGAGATGTCTTTTCCTGTGATGGTGCTGGGTAAAAGCCTCATCCCTGGAAGGCTGACCACATGCAGAACAGATCCATGGTTTCCCTGGTGACAGTCAGAGAACCTTTTATGACTTGCTGCCAGGCTCCAGAGATTGCTTGGAAAGTCTGCAGCTATTGAACAGCTATCTTTTGATGCAAACACACAGTGATAGGCTGAACAAGTTTAAATGTTCACAGATTTTATTTCTGAACTGTTCAGTGTTATGGTGTTTGTCCTTTCAAACCAGAACAGTGTTCTAACTATCAGAATTGTCCTGAAAACCACACTAACCTATGTAATTTGGATTGCTGCTGCAAGCTTAAAACTGGGTTTCCTATTACTTATGCTATTTTCTTTTTTCTTTTTTTTTTTTTTCAAATGAACCATCCCAGGGCTGTGACACAGAGATCCACATGACTAGTTTTCATTCCTTTTCACTGCAAAAGGTCAAGCTGGCTGCTTGGTAGTGAGACTTCAGCAGCTGCTTTAAAGGCTTTGCACACAAACCCCAGGGCTGACATGAGCTACATGCAGGGTGTGATACAGAATGGTTGGAAGTGAATGAAGACTGCTAAGACTGTTTAAAAGACCAAGACTGAGATTGGCAGGAAAGTATTAACTTCATTTTCTTGCAAACCTGTTTTATAAAAACCTTCTCTTGAAGGATTTCTCATCTCAGAAAAGGTGGTGCAAAACAGATGGCATTGGAACTGTCATCTCATACTGAAAGGGCATTGATTACGTGCAGACTTTGTAACACACAGATATCCTCTACATAAGGTAATACCCATCCTTTGTCTTTAGGGGACAGAATAAAAATCAAAAGGGCCATCACTACCTAGATGCTGTATTGCTGCAAAGTCACAGGTGAAGGTTTAGATGTGAGAATCCTAAACTCTGCCTCGGGGTTTGGAAGAAAACCATAAAAATGATTCATCTGTTCTGCGCTGTCATCATCTGTTGCCCTTTTCACATCCTGCCCTCCAATTTTGCTCTGATTGTTCCATTTTCTTGGGCAGTGCAGGCTGGGACCCTGGGCAGTGAGAGGAACTACCTCCAGTCCTCAGGAGCTCCTGACTTTACTTGCAGCTTAAGGCAGCCACAGCCAGCCTCTCTGCAGTTTCTCTGACATTTTGAGAAAAGAAGTATTTGTTTGGCACCTTATAGTGGCTGAAATTCCCTTCCCTGAAGGTGAATTATTAGTGATTTAGTTGTTAAAATCCACAAAGGTGTCAAATAAACACCTGGGATATAAGAAGGCAGCTTTCAAAAAGAAAACAGGCACAACCTCCTACGAAAAAATTGCACCATGTTATTGATACACTGTGTGGTCATGTTGGATTTTTGCAGAAGGAAATGATGTGAGTTTTGCAATGTAGACAATGTGCTATCCCTTACTCTTGCTTTCTATGACTTTGGTTACTAAGCAAAAAGTAGAACTAGTAGGTTATAAAATCAACTAACCAAAAAGCAAGAATCTTGCATGTAAGGTATCAGCTGGTGACAAGCTGTCACTGCTGATAGGCCATGTTTTTAATCTCTACAAACTTCTAAATACAACAAAAAGTTGAATGTGAGCTACTACTTTTTCTGAATATATCGATTTTTTTTCTTGAATTAAAGCTTCTCTAAAGTTGATGGAAATTATGAGATAGGGATGGTGATGTTTTTCACTCAGGAGCATTCACATTTTTTACCGCCCTTTAGTAGCTGTGGTTTTAGGTACAGTGAACTTCAGTACATTCATTATTTCGCTGGCAGTCATTGTAATATATCTGCTAGACACTAACAAGGTGTAAATTCTGCCTGGCAGTCCATTCCCTGCCAGGATGGTTACTGTGTGATGCCCTTTCCTTATGCGTTTTGCACGTTGTTCTAGGTGTGTGCCAGGCATTGCTTTTCAAGGCTGACAATGGCACCCAGGTGCAGGAATTTCACAGGTGCTCGTGTTTCATAGGTGTCAACATGTTTTTTTTCTAGCAAACAGGAGGAGGACGGCTGCAGGTTAAAGACAGGAATTGATCTCAGCTCTGAACAGTGAGTAGGAGACAGATTGCTCCTTCTCCTTTTTCAAATGGACAGTGGCTTTAAGCGAGGAGCTGTAGTGATGTGAACTAAGAAACCTCCAAGTGGAGCAGCACTGACGACTGGCTAGCAGGCGATGGAAACCCCTTATTTCGAGCAGCAAATGCTTTAGCATTTCAGTGACAGGAAAAGTGAGTCTTGCCATTGCAGCGGCCAGTGTTAATGCTGGTTTGTTCACCGAACTTATCAGTACTGCCCAGGTATTCCCTCGGCAGCTCTTTTGACATGTCATCCTTTTCCCTCTGCGTACGTACCCGTGACGCCAATTTAAATGCATGCCTCTGCTTTTGTGACAGGGAGGGCAGCACTCGCAGCGGGACCGCGATGTCCGAGCACGGGTTTCACAAGAGTCAGAGATGCCGCGGGCCTGCAGCGTTTCAGCGATGCTGACCAGAGCTGGCACGGCAGAACGGGAGAGCGCCGCGGGTCCCGGCGGGCGCTCCGGCAGCGCGCCCCGGGGCCGCGCGGGGGCGCCCGCGCTCCGCCATGGGGCCGGGGGCGGCGGGACCGCGCGGGGGATGCGCGGGGATCGCGCGGGGATCGCGCGGGGGATGCGCGGGGGATCTCGCGGGGGATGCGCGGGGATCGCGCGGGGGATGCGCGGGGATCTCGCGGAGGATGCGCGGGGGATCTCGCGGGGGATGCGCGGGGACCGCGCGGGGGATGCGCGGGGATCGCGCGGGGGATGCGCGGGGATCGCGCGGGGCATTCTCGCGGGGGATGCGCGGGGAGCCGAACGCGTTTGCTCCCAGCTTCTGCAGCGAGCACGGCCTCACTGCTGTGCTGGCATCCCTAGCAGCCTAGCTCGTTTAATCAAACAGTTTTCCCAGGAGTTCTCCGTGTGGTTTTGTTGACGTAAATAATAAGTGACCCCTAAAATTTTATTTATTTATTTGTTGCATAATTAATAATGACCCCTGGAAAAAAATCTGTTCTACTTAAGCCTTTTTTTGTTTTGTTTTGCTTGGTAGATTCTTTTCCATCTTCAAAACCACTAAAAAACACATTTAATTGCCCAGCTAGCGATATAAAACTTCTGCTCCCTAGAAAATACTGTCTAGAAATTAAAATACAGCACTTAATCACCAAATATTTTTTTTTTTTTACTCTTAGCATCTGAGAGCTTAAGTGAGAATGCTTGGTCAGAAGTACCACAGATCTAAAAAGTAACTATATACACACATGGCAAGAAATAGATTATGTATAAATCCCCCTGTTCACAGAAAGAAATACTTTAGAAATGTTGCTGACATTGTAATATAGCCAAGTTTAACAGTGTATGGGTTGTCACCAGGCTGTTTTATTTTACACTGCAGCACTTCTCAAATATCTCTGGGATAACTGAGGATGTGTGCTACATTCACAACACAAGTAATGGTTACACTATTATTAGCAATTCAATGGAGATCTCCAAACAGAATCCCTTTTCCCTTCTGATTCTCCGGGGCAGGTAGCTCTGAAACACCCAGCAGCCAGGTCTCTTCCTTCGGATCTAAATAGGGCTTTGCAAAAGGCTACAGCAATTCCATGTGCACAAATTAGCTGGCCCTGGGTAAGGACAGGGTCCTTAGGCTGAGGTTGAGGCTGTACCCCAACCCTCTTCCATTCCTCTTGGGTTGTGGGGTTGTGTCTTTCGTAACAACTTAGTCTTCGTTGCTAAATGTTGTTGAGTTTTTTTGTTATCATTGCTATGATTGTATTCAAACAGGAAGATAATGGATTTCTTCCACAGGCCACCAAGGCAGTCCATACAGTGGTAAGTATATTGTACTATTTAATCTTAAATCTGACATGGATGGGGCACCACACATCTGAAGATGTGTTTTGGAAATCAGTGT